CAGTCAGTTCTTCAAAGATAAGCTTTCATTGTGCTTGATGTAGACCCGGTTCATTCTGAGTCATTTATAATGTAGCAGAGTGATATACTCTTCAATTGTGGGCACCACGTCTTCTGGATTGAATGTGACACATAGTCGCCTTGTAGACTATCCTTTGTATTTTCATCTCTTGTATTACAACACCTTTGTTCATGGATTCAGATTATTCGAGTTTTAACAAACACGTTTTAGTGGATTAATACCTCTTTTAAATGATGCAAGTGATGAAAATAAAAGAAAAGAAAAGAAAGATGAAAAGAGTTAGTGAGGTGAAAAATAATAAAAAACGATCATGAAAATGAAAAATCCTACCCCACATGATATCTACCCCACATGCTTATTATTCCTACCCGGCCATGATCTCTATCCTGCATGCTAATCTCAAACAAATCCTAATCGCATATTTGTCTAGTTCGCATGCTTTGAACATAAAGTAAGGCAGGAAATAAAATCAAAGCAGCCTAAGGTTTGGAATGAGGTTTTGGGGTGGGCTCTAATTCTCTATCATCTCCCGGTTTAGGCTCTAAAAAAACGGTACCCGAGTTCTCCTTGCTGGTGCCCCCTTGGGCTTGCCAGACCCTTAGTCCTAAACCCATCACAGGCTTGTATGGACTAAGTTAAACTCGAGAGGACACATTCCCTTATGCCCGCACGGTGAATAAATTCACACGAAGACATAAGGTATATGAATCCCGAAGGCTACTTGCTAGGCCCGCACGGTGAATAAATTCACACGAAGGCGTCGCTTTCACCCCCACTTAAATAGGGTTTAGAGCTCGGGTATAGAGCCTTAGATGAAAAAAGACTTTAAGTGCTGAAATCATTGAGAAAACGGTTAGTACAACTATTTACTCGAAAAAATATAATCAAAAGTAAGCAATAAGGATCGAAATGTTACCTTAAAATTTAAACTTACCATTTTCGTTAAAAAGACAACTGGAAATTACCTTAGCCTGACTCACTTACCTGTGTTCCCAGTGGAGTCGCCAAGCTGTCGCAACCGTCTTTCGGTTGGGCCCCGGAATTGGGCTTCGACTTAGGAAAATGGATTGGAGTCGCCACCGATCATTTATTTAAAAATAAATGGGTTGATCGGATACCCTATTTCTTACCTGATCTGCGTCTTACCAGAAATATGTCGGGCTCGGGAGTCGGTTACGGTCAAGGAAGGATTAGCACCCTTGAACCGCCCTTTCGGTACTACGTAATTTCCAGTTGTCTTAATTAAGAAAAATAACAAGTTAAATTAAAAGGTAAAGTTTCGACCCCAATTACTTACCCTTTATTGATTTGAAAATATCCTTAAAAAATCGAGAAATGTGTTAGATAAACAAGGTAAATAAAACAAATAAGGTAAAAGGGAAAAATAAAATAAATAAAATAAATAAATAAGATAAAGGAAAAACAATAGTAAAGTAATAATTATATATAGTAATATTTGAAAAAGGAAAAATATATATATATGTATACATCAAAGTATTAAAAAATAGAAAAGTTACCCTCTCACTTCACCGAAAGTGAGGGTCTTTAGTCAGAAATAAGACAAAAAATGGGTCCTCTACGTTAGTAATATATAATATAATGTTTAATAATAATAATGATAAAGACACAAGATTTTTTAAAAATAATATAATAATAATAAATAAAAAAACGAAAATAATATATATATATATATATATATATAAAGTTATAAGATATATTACGTAAATAAAAAAATAATCAAATAAAAATAATTAAGAATATATATATATTAATAATAGGTATATAAATCAACCATTAAAAGTATAAAAAATATATGACTAGATAAAGATAATTACAATATATATAGTAATAATAGACTTATAAGTAGAATATTAAAGAAATATATATATATATACATATAATAATAATAACATAAATAATAAAAATAAATGAATAAAATATCCATATAATAAATAAAGGGACTAATATAGATTTTTAAAAAGCTCTTCCACTCCTTTAACCGAAAATCAAACCGGTTTTTCAAAATAAGCCTCGGGGTAGATCTAGGTTTGAAACTTCGAAACCCTACCCATTTTGGTCATCAGCGCAACCCACGTTTTGGGTTATTCGAACCAAATCTCAAGAAAAATAACGTGCACATGCAAAAGAAAGAAAAAAGAAAATGCTACCTTTTATTTCCTTTTCGAATCCTTTACAATAGCTTTGCCTTTGTATCCTCCCGTGCTTTCCTCTATGTTTTGTGTGTAAATCGTGTCTTACAATGGTGAGTTACAATGGCTATTTATAGTGCTTGTGGATCCTATCTTTAGGAATTTAAATCTTAGTAGGACTCTATCCTATTTTTAGGAGTTTGAATCCTAGCAAAATGTTATCCTATTTTTAGGAGTTTGAATTCTAGTAGGACGAAAAGGTGTGTTGACAATAACAAAATTTCTAATTTTTAATTTATTCATTCAACTTTATATGGTTTCTTTATTTCTTCAATTTATTCTTCATTTTAAGTCCATTTTTTACAAATTTGAACAACATGCTCTCGTACTACTATAGATTATATATGTAACTTTAATTCTTAATTTTTAATTAAAAATATACTTCCTTTTTAAATTTAATCATTTAACTTTGTATTATACTTGATTTAATATTTTGACAGTAATTATTTACAAATTCTTTCTTCTTACCAATTTCTTACTCTCTTTTACTCCATTAATACTTTACTCTTAAAATACATTTTTTGAAGTATAATATTATAAATATATTTTATAATTTTATATTATATTTAATATATTAAATAACATTATATTGTAAAAAGTATATGAAGAAATATATATATATATATATATATATATATATATATATATATGATTAGAAAAACTCAAAAAATTGAAATCAATAAGTAACTTAATATTATAATTAAATTTATATAAAAACTAAAATAAATTAAATCGATTTAAATTTTATAAATTTGATTTGATTAAAAAATACAAATTAAATTTAAATTATAAAATTCGATTCATAAATTAAAATAACTTAAAAATTTTCAATTATCGCCCACGGTAACACAAAAAGCGCCTCAGCGGCAGAACCCGCCTGCAAAGTGTCTTATCACTGTCCTTTAATTGGTCCTCGTTTTGATTTCTCGCCTCTGGTCATTGAATGATTACAGGAAGTCGAAAATACCCCTCCTTTCGCGTACAAAAAAGGGCACCCTTACGGGAGGCTTTTTGTCTTTTTGTTCCAATCGTAGCCTAAATAACTAGACGGTAGGGTGAGGCTGTTACTGTACACTTCAGCTGTTCAAGAGCAACAACAAGTACACGCCAGCTAAGCTGCCGAATCCACGGAGTTCGTTACTTTTTTGTTTTCGACTGTTAAACATCCATGATTAAATTACATTGACGACCTGATTTAATTGATGAACAGATTTAGCCTCTGTACTTGAGCACACGTGATTATGCCATTTTTCACAACTTCCTTTTCTCTCACCGAAACAAGGGATTATATATAATGCGTCTTTGATGGCACCGTCTTTTGAAATTGACAAAAGAGCCCATATTATTTTCAACAATTATTATCGATTGTATAATTTGTAAAATTAAATATGATAATATTTTAGATTAAAATATGTCAAAAATTAATTTTAGGTTAGATCATCGTGCAACAGAATTACTCGTAAAAGCATATAGAATTGTTCCGAGTTCTTAGAATATATTATAAATTTTAAAATTTTGTGGCTAAAATATAAATATCCAAAACATTTGGTAACTATTTTTATGTTATACCCTATTTTTATTTCATTTAGGTGGCATTTGATTCGCTGGAATCTCTTAAAATTAGAGAGAATTGAAATCTAATTCCACCACTTTCCCATGTTTGATTCAAAATTTTAAAGGGGGAATTGGAATCTAATACCATATAGGGAGGGAAAGTAAATTTTATCTATAACATGATGTAATTGAAATCTTTGGAGGAGGGAATGTGAAATTTGACCATACTACCCTCATCATCTTTAGGTATTCTGGTCGGATTTTTTTTAAAAAAATTCAGGTTCGGGTCGGGTTTTTTAAAGTTTGATATTCGGGTCGGGTCTGGTTTTTGTAAGTGTGATATTCGGGTCGGTTTTTTCAAAAAAAATTCGGGATTGGGTTGGATTTTTTTAAAAATTTTATGTTCGGGTCGGGTTCGGGTTTAGGGTGAAAAATACCCGACCCGACTCGACCCAAAAAAATATATAATTTTACCTTATATATTTAGGAATAAATACAATAATACCCCTCTCTATATAATTTTTTTTCAATTAAGTCACTGTTTTTATTGAATAAAAATATATTTTTTATTATTTCGGGTCGGGTGAAACTTTATTTTGGTCGGATTGGGTCGGGTCTCGGATGGATGTTCCATTGTTCTCGGGTCGGGTCGGGTGGACAAAAAACCCGACCCAACTCGACCAATGGCCATCCCTAATTGGGATGATTTTAACTTATGATATTTATTAGTATGATTTTTATAATTTATTAAAATGAATAATTAATCAATAAAATAAAAATTTAATATTTTTAAAATTTTTATAATATATTACTATATGTAAGTTATAAAACAAACTAAAATTAAGTAAAAAAAAAGATAATTCTGTCATTTTACATTACTGAAATCAAATTCATCTGACATGTCTACGAACCAAATATAATATGAAATTAGATTCCAATTTAATTTTCTGTCAACCAAACATATTTCAAATTCAGATTCGTACAGATTTCAATACTTTTATAACCATTCTAGCGAACCAAATATGATCTTAGTTGTAATAATATTTAGAGGGGTAAATTATTAATATTTGGGTATAAAATGTGTAAATTATCCTCTTGCGGTTCTTTTCAGCTTTTAGCCTTACCTTTTTCCTCTCTCTCTCTCTCCCCCTCTATTCTCATTTATTGTTTCTCTGTTTACTTTGACGGGCTCCCTCCCCGCCAAACTGCTATTTCTCCGACGAAGGAAGTCTTGCTAGGCGGGAAACAATCTCTCTACTTTTGATAGTTTACTTTATTTGTTGAGCGTATCTTTTGGAGACTCGGATTCGGATCGCCGAGTTTGACCAGGTCCTGTTGAGCACGCGGCTCGTTGTGAGAATGTGGTGAGATTGGTTGACGTTTGATGCCCTGGTTTGATAGCAAATGCTCAAGATCGTGACATAGTTTCTAGTTTTTTATTATTGCGGATTTTGTCCCCCCTCCGGATCGTTTGTTTTGGTGAATTGCGGCAAAACGGTGGCGCGCAAAGAACCATTGCGGCATGAGATGGTACGGAAATTATTCTGTTGAGTTCTTTCTATTTTATATTTTTATGAAAATTTGTAGGGTTTTCCATTGTTCTATTTATTTTGTTTGTCTTTGTAGACATTGTTTTAATTCTGAAACTCGTTCTTAACTTTTTCCTTAGTTTTTCTGGTTTCCTACATTTGTTCTACATCTTTTGAAAAATATAGAAGGTAAAATTTGAAATGTGGAAAAGTTAAGTTTCTTCAATAAAAAAAAACTCATGCAATAACAACCGTGAATCGTGCATTTTGGATCGGACAAATTTTACTTGGATTTTTCCTTCCTTTTTATCTTTCATATCAGAACTATTTTCCGTGGAGAATAGGGATGATGGATGTTTCGTTTTTATATTAATAAGATAATTCACATGTATTTGTTGAATCCCCCCCCTTTCACTACGTTTTTAGTTTTTTTTAGAAAAAATTGGATAAAGTTCTTTTAAGTAATTTTATTCATTATTACCGTTGTTGCTTAAAAAGTTGACCTGGTAATACCGTGTATTATTGTTCAAATTGTCTTGTTTTTGATTGGGTTTCTGAATTACTCAAATTTTGACTTTATATTTGTGGAATATGTCATGTACGCTTAATTCAACTGGTCATAAACCTTTGACGCACGATTTTAATGGGAAACGTTGGTGGTTAAATTTAATCTATTATCGGGCCATTGATTTTATATAGATTCAGTCAACCGTCAATTTTCTTATGCCTTAGAAATTATTTTGGTTCAGATTGGCATGGGCTTTTTGCTTTCAGGTTCTCAGTTTTGGGTACCAATTGGTTATGCATGTTACTATTTTTATTCTTTTGATTATCATCTCTGAATGAATTTGGTTCTAAATTTCGGTTAATTTAATTGGTGGATGGAGAGTCTAGTCTAGTGCCAGCGACTGTAACATAGATGTAGTCATGTAGGTGCTGTTTCATTAACATTTATTGTCTATTGAGGTGTAGTCGTATATGCATGGACTGGATTGGGCACCCTGAAATCCAAAGTTCTTTGATTGTGACCACAATAGTTCCCCACTTATTTTTGGCAAGAGAATGGCACAAACAAAATACCTGGAGTATCAGATAAATTAGTTTTGTTAAAAGATCTTTTGTAATCTATGCTCTCCATTAGTCAAGCTGATAGTAGTTAAAAACTTAAAACTTCTGCAGAGTTCGAACTAATATAGCTAATTGAATACTTCGTAAACTGTTGGTGTTGGCTGTGTGCATGTAGTGTGTTGTAAATATTATAGCTACATGGACTTGCATGTAGATCACTTGGATATTAATTGGGTGCTGACACAATTGAAAAGTGTAATTTAACATTGTATATGATGAACATTTAGGCTAATTTTGTATTGTTATTGCGTGTTTCTCAAGTATGCTTCTATAAACTGATAAATGTTTTCTTTTTCTAAATGTGTTTATCTTCTTATTCCTTATAGGTGGAAGGAAGGGTGCGTTTATCCAAGGAGATAAAAAATGGGTTAGAGTTACTGAAGCGTAAAAGGCTTCAACGAATAAAATCAGAATCCATTTCTGGGGCATCTGATGTCGTAAATATGATGGCTAGAAGTGGAGGAGATGCTTTGAGAGTTTCAGCATCAAGTGGACTGAGGTTACAACGGAATGCTGAATCATTTTCTAGGTCAAATGGTGTTTTATGTGAGAAGGATGTCTTTTGTAAGCGCAAGGTTGATAAGTTTGACACTAGTGATCTAGAATGGACTGAGAAAATTCCAGAATGTCCTGTGTACTGCCCTACAAAGGAAGAGTTTGAAGATCCTTTAGTTTACTTGCAGAAGATAGCTTCCGAAGCTTCGAGATATGGTAACACCTTCTGTGCCTTTATTCTCTATCTTTAACAATTTGAATATCCTCCCTCTTGCTACCCCTAGTTGAAGGAATACGAAACATTATATCTGATGATATTACAAAAACCAAGTAGAAGGGATAAACATGTTTCGATTTTGAAAGAAATTTTTTAAAAATGGCCTCTTTACTTTTTTAATAATAAAAACTGAAGCATTTTGAGTATATGCTCTTAGGTATATGCAAGATTGTTTCCCCTGTAGTTGCCACTGTTCCTGCTGGAGTTGTATTGATGAAGGAGAAAGTAGGATTCAAGTTCACAACTAGAGTACAGCCTTTTCGTCTTGCTGAGTGGGATACTGACGACAGAGTCACCTTTTTCATGAGTGGAATGTGAGCTCACTCTCTTGAAACAGATGTTGTTTTTGTGCTTTGAGTTCTTTTTTCTGGTTTTGATGTTAGCATGACTTTTCAGAAATTATTCATTTCGTGATTTCGAGAAAATGGCGAACAAGGTGTTTGCTCGTAGATATTATAGTGCTGGTTATCTTTCTGCAACTTACTTGGAAAAAGAATTTTGGCATGAAATTGCTTATGGGAAGACAGAAAGTGTTGAATATGCTTGTGATGTTGAGGGTAGTGCCTTTTCTTCTTCTCCCAGTGATCCACTTGGAAGTAGCAAATGGAATTTAGAGGTGTTGCTTTCATATCTATCATCTCCAGTTTTTTTAATGCTTCTTGTAGGGGTTGTTTACCAAAGATAATAAAGTTTAGAGAAGGAAACTACAATAGCTTTATTTTGGATGGCTGATTGATCTCATTCGCGAGTCATTTTATTCTAGATTATGTTTCCTTTGTTCCTTATCACACTGCTTCATAAAGTGTAACAAGTTTACATGTTCGTATGTGTTGGATTGAAATCAAATCCCCAAGTGGTACTGCAAGTTATACTTGTGTGTAACCTAAAAACATCTCTTTTCCTGACAAAAAATGTCATAAAGATTTTCTCTGTTAGTAAGACTGGCCAGAATAAACTAAAGAGTAGATTTGGTCTTAAAATATAACCCTAAGAGATGCTATCGGATAATGTTGATACTATGACTTCATACATTGTTTAAGGAACAGTTATAACAGCCTTAACAAATAACAACCACTATGCTAGTTTGATAAATCATCCCATTAGTATCTATTTGATGTTATCTTAGATGTTTCCTGTTGCAAAATTGATTCTGTGAGGGTCCAACAGGGTTGATACCTCTATTTCATCACCAAGTTGCCAAGGTCTATTATAATTGGGGAAGTAGTTGCTTGTATTATTTATCGGTATTATTTAGATAAAGTTATGTTGTATAATTCCCAGAATTGTCCGTCTCTGTTCTTGCTTCCAGTTCTATTGTTTTTTATATACTTCTGTTTGATTTCAGCATTTCTCACGGCTTCCAAAGTCCACCTTGCGACTTCTTGAAACAGCAATTCCGGTATTGAAATGATCCTGATATCAGTTTTGCACTATATTCATACAAATAATTGATCTTCTCTCATGTGTGGTCCTGTTTGATTGAACTGATCTTTGTTTCAGGGAGTAACTGACCCTATGCTTTACATAGGAATGCTATTTAGTATGTTTGCTTGGCATGTGGAAGATCATTATTTGTATAGGTAACTGTTATCAAACATTAAATTCCTTTACGGTTATTTTCTTTTCTAGTATTCTATAAATAATCCTTATTAATTTTGTGGCAGCATTAACTATCATCACTGTGGGGCTTCAAAAACTTGGTATGGTATTCCTGGCCATGCTGCTTTAAAATTTGAGAAGGTTGTCAAAGAACATGTGTATGCCAATGATATCCTATCTGTGGATGGTGAGGATGGAGCTTTTGATGTGCTTTTGGGTAAAACAACGTTATTTCCTCCAAGTATTTTGTTGGATCATGATGTCCCTGTCTACAAGGCTGTGCAGAAGCCTGGAGAGTTCGTAATTACTTTTCCAAGGGCATACCATGCTGGATTCAGTCATGGTAAGTCATATTTACCTAATTTCTTCTTATTTGCGCATTCAGAGTTAATGAATTTGTTTCTAACTGTAATCATTTAGGTTTGAACTGTGGTGAGGCTGTGAACTTTGCTGTCAGTGATTGGTTTCCTTTGGGGGCTTTAGCTAGCTTGCGCTATGCATATCTCAACAGGGTGCCTCTCCTTCCTCATGAGGAACTAATCTGCAAAGAAGCTATGCTTCTCTATACAGGTTTAGAAATGGAAGATTTGGATTATTCGCCAGCAGACTTGGCCTCTCATCATTGCATCAAGGTTTCGTTCATAAAGATGATGCGATTCCTGCACTGGGCCCGTTGGTCTGTCTTGAAATCAAGGGCATGCACCAGTATATCCCCAAATTATTATAGAACAATTGTCTGCACTTTATGCAAACGCGATTGTTATGTTGCATTCATTAACTGCAGCTGCTACTCTCATCCTGTTTGCCTGCGACATGGTATTCTTTCCCGCATTCTTTGTTTTGGTAGTTTCCCTTGATAGATAGTTTTGTCTTATCATGAGCCTGTTTGCCTTCTGCAGATATCAAGTCCCTGGACTTCCCATGTGGGAGCTATTATGGTCTTTTCTTGAGGGATGATGTTGGAGAGATGGAAGCTGCTGCCAAGAAGTTTGAGCAAGATGATGCCATATCAAAAGAATTTGAGCAACAAGATGAAAATGGGAATGACTTGTATTTGTATCCACAGTCAGATAAGTTACAGACTGATGTAGAGGATGGATACTTCCCATACTGTGAGATTAATGTTGCTTTGAGTCCTGGGATTGATGCAATAAATGCAACAATGGGTGAACCATTAGGACATATATCATCTACGAGCCATGTCTCCAGAAAATTTCAAACTGAGCCAACTGACGCTTTCTCTTCTTTTGCCGCATCAACTCCTTGTACCATTTTGGAGCAAGTTAGATCCTCACTAAAAGATGTAAGATCCAACTCCCTACTTGCTGAGTCTCTTAATCTGACACATGAATTATATGTTTGTCTCTGCTTGAGCTGCTGCTCCTGCACTGAACAATTGATATATATTCAAAGCAGGTACAGAGGGTAGCTGACCAAGTAGGCATTAATGGTAAAAGATTCCCTGAAGAAGTCTCAGAAAATACACATGAATATTCTACTTCCTGTTTGTCACTTGAAGATCGTCCAAATATCCTTCTTGATAATGTTCGTGAACCATTTAGTAGGCCTATAATGGACGAAGACAGTGGTAGTTCTGATTCACAGATATTTAGGTTTAAACGGCCTTTTTTGAAGGTTGAAACAAGATTTGGGAATGACAACGTGTCATCAAAGAACCCAGAACAACAGGTTTAATTTTAGCTTTCCATAGTTATATTTATGTCTGTTATAAAGTTACCAACCAAATTTTCAGGGTTGCCTTTAAAACATTTTTTAAAAGCTATTCAAATATTCTTTAGATTCAAAAGCTGAGATTAGTTTAATGTGATTTATTCATGCAATTACTACTAGTTATTTGACTATGTAAAGAACCAGATTTTAGCTTTAACTTTTGACTTTTCATTGAGCCCATGGAAATTCAAGGTGTGACTCTAAGATATCAGGAAGTCCAGGGGTAATGGCATCAGTTACATAGAAGAACCGCTGTTCACTGACATCTTAAAGTCTAACCTTTTGCTTCCCCACTGAAAAGGGACAAAACTGATTAATGCCAATGATAAACTGTTTAGTTTCAATTCAAAAAGGCCTTATCCCCTTTTGGTAAATGTGTTGACATGACAATATTTTTAAGTATGAGAGTAAGAGCTATTGAGCAAGATTTCACATTTTGTTGTCCTTAAATTCCCCTTTTTCTTAATTTAAATATTGTGCTCTTACTTTGCCAGTGGCCACTTATCATTCTGTTGGATTGTTGTTTGTGGTTGCCCCCTATTATAGATATACTTTAGAATAAGCGTCTTATTACACATTTGCCTCTTGCTTTCTTGTGAAGTTTGTGATGGCTAGCTAGGGGGATAATAAACAAGCTTCTGATTGAGCATTAAATTAGTTACAGCCATTGATTATTTTCCCACTATTTTATATTCATTATCTTCAACTTGACTATTGTCCTGTCATTTTGTATTTTGCTTAGTGCTTTGCTTTTTTTCACTTTCGATTTTTCATGGGAATTTAGTTATCTTGTTCTTATGCCTTTTATTTATATGGCAGGGGATTAAGCGGCTAAAGAAACTCCAAGATAAAGGAAGATGTGAGCAATCGGTGCCATCTGCATGTTGTAGAAGTGACGAATCAAATCGCAATGTGAATCGCAGTTATTATTGTAACGAAGCTCCAAATATCAGTGTGAAGGACAGATTTGGAAGAGGCGCCCTTCCCATTCCCATTTCTATCAAGTATAAGAAGTTGGACCGCGAGGCAGAAATGAGCAGGCTGCAGGAGCACGACAAAAATGATAGGCTCCGGCAGGAGTTAGGGAAAAGCAAGAGGGAACCTCCTTCAGAGATTGGTCCAAAGCGCCTTAAAGTGAGAGGCCCAATATAATCTAGATTCAGAAAGCAGACTGGTTTGAAGTTGATAGACGTGCAGAAACTGATGGTTGGTAGTTGGGTTTGTGACCCTGGATCCTGATTTTAGCCAAGTCCATTCCTTCTAAATGGAGTTCTAACAGTAACACCGAAATTTTAAATTATCAATTCAACTCAGGGAAAGAAGCAGCGGAAGATTAACCAAGCTTAGGACATAAAATATTTTTATTTGTTGTGCAGGCCTCCTAAACTGGGGCAATTGCACGTCCTAGTAGTGATTCTTGCAGGACGTGTGTTCTCCCGTCTATGGCAGGAGAACCAACCTTAACGAAAAGTAGAATCCGGGTTAGTGTAATTTACTTTTGTTTTGTAAATTTATTCTTTTTAATCTTTTTCTGTTTCCCTGCTAGTTTCTTTATTCTTTGACTGTAACAATGTTGTAAACTGTTTAAATAAAACGGTAAGAGTAATGCCCCCTTAATTTTGTGGCTCGTGTATTTTGTTGACGTTTGTCTATCAGATAGTTTCTTTGTAAACTTGGATTGGATTGTGGGGTAATAATACCAAATGGGAAACCAACTTGCCCCATGTGGCAGTTGCTGCAACTTGCTGTGTTAGTAAGTTGCTTAACTTTGGGGGAATAAGCCAGCAACGCCCTTTTGCTGTGGTTGTTTGGAAGCAAACGGGCAAATGGAAGGAGAGTGTGTTGTTATAGTTTTCATGGGGTCTAGAAATGGGCCTCCTCTGTAGAATTTGTCTGGAAGCAATTTATGCGAATGCTTGCTGGGGGGGTCCTCTAATGGCCCACTGTCCTGTTTCCATAAGAAGCCACTCCATTTTTGTTTTTTTTAATTCTATCCAGATGCACAGACGATACTGTTTGCTCTATTCTATTCTTAATTTGCTTTTCCAATGTTGTCTAATTCGTTTTTCTATACCTGAAATTTCATTTTCTTTGATAGATTTATGTATTGTCCACAGTATCCGTGGTTTTGGAAATTTGACGCGCAAGTTTTGTTGGGGTTCAAAACGTGTTTGATTGAAGTCAACTTTGTCCCTTCTAGGCTTAGGCTATCCCATATATCTGCACCCAAAGAGGGGAAAAGAAGCAATATCAAATGGGCGGGACACAGATTTCATAGAGCTCATCTCTTGGGCTATCCTATCTTTCTGTGCCGACCCAAATTAGAATGTAAATAAAAGATGATTCATAAGTAGTTGGATTTCTATTTATTTATCAAATTAAATAAATGAATTTTAGTAAGAAATTCGTTTATTAAATAATATAAATCGTTTATGAATAAAATTTTTGAAATTCTCTTGTTGTATGGTTTTTATATGATTAATAACAATATTCTTAGTTTAATGTTAATAATTTTTTTGATAAAAGGGTATGCTAGGGACTCGTATTTAAAAAAATCAATATGATCATAGTATTTTTTGGTACCCAATGTGGCCCTCAAACTTAATATGGCTTTTTGACCAACAATTATTGTCATTGACCGTTATGATGTTGACGTGGCATTTAACGGTGTTGATGTGGTGGTCCATGGTGACTAACGACGTGGCTGGTGATGTCGTAGATGAGCTAAATTAGTTTTTTGATCGAGTTCGAAAGCCAAATTGATTTTTTAAAAAGTTTAAGGATTTATTCTTTTTTTAGAAAATATAAAAATATTTTAAATTTAAAATATAAAAATGTTTAAGAAAGTAAATATCAAAAATAAAAATTCAATTATTTAAAATTTAAAAATATATTATTATTTTTCACCTTGAATTTAATTCGACTTTTATTTATATAAACATGAACTCGTCTATCTTGTACAAATTTTATTTTATATATTTACTTCTAATTATCTTAAATTCTAAATGTATTTCGAATTTGATTTTACTAATTTTTTTATAAAATGTATTTAAAAAATATTATAAAGTCTTATAAAAAAAAATAAAATTTAAAAGTTATAAAATTAAAATTTATGTATAAAAAATCATGAAAATATATAATTAAAAAATATAAAAAATAATTATACAAATAAGAAGAGTATTTTAGTGAATATAGCATGATAGAGAAAAATATAATTCACATAAACTTGATTTAAAAATAGTAACGGGAAATTTGTCGTAAATTGTCAATTTTTATTAGATACAACTCGATAAAGTCAAGGTAGATATTGTCTCCACGTGTTTGAAATTTTTTATTATCCCTATTCTTTTATTTTTCAAAGAATAACAAATTCGTCTCTATAAAATAAAAACAAAATAAAACTCATATTAGAATTGATATGTAAATCATAATAATATAATTATATTACTAACTAAAATAAAATTCACATTAAAATTCTTCTCTAAATTGAATGAATCATTTAACAATATATATATATATATATATATATATATATATATATATATATATATATATATATTGGTAACAAAGATTAAACTAACGGCTACACACTGCTATTGTGTTGGTCGTCTTGTAACCATGGTTTTCAGAATCAGATCGGTTAGCGAACCGGTCATGCTATCAGTTCACTGGTTCAACTGGTCGGATCGGTCCGACTGGTCGGAAGAACCGGATGACGTCATAATTATTTAAAAATTTAAATAAAAATACTAAAAATATTTAATAAAAAATAATTTTTTATATCACAAGTCATATTCAAAGCAAGTCATAACATATATAAGTTAAAAATCATAAAATCAAGTGAAACAAAATGATTCAAATTAACTACAACATAATATTTAATGTAAAACATATTAAATAATAAATATAATTATATAACTATAATTAAAAAATAAATTTGGGGCTAAAAAAATCATAACAAAATAATATTATTTGGTTTTTTTTTTAAAAATAATCTCACATGGCTAAGAAACATAGAAGATCATCCAACCTAACTTCTATAAATAATAGAGGTAATTTGGCATTCAAAATCATGGAGTCTTTTGGTGAGCATTGAGTGGACTATTCTTTCACTTCAATCAAGCTCGAATTTTAGGCTTCAATCGAGCTTCTAATTTTTTTTTTTTGTGTTCAAGCCTTTTCGAGTTCAAGTTTCAATATTATATTTCGAGTTCGAGTTGAACATGATAATTTTTAGCTTGTGATTTTGAGTCGAGTTGAGCTTACTTTTAAATTTTTCAAGTTCGAGTCGAGCTTAGCAATACTCGAGTTCGATTTGGCTCATTTAACAAACGACGTCATTTGGTTTAATTTAAAAAAAAAAAAAAATTGGTAGTTTTTTCAAATTTTTTCCGGTTTTCAGCCGGTTCGGTTCGAACGGTTCAGCAGTTCCGGCCGGTTCACTAGTAGCGATTCAACCGGTGTAGATTGAATCAGACTAGACAACGATTCCCGGTTGAACCGACCGGTCCGATTTTCAAAACACTGCCTGTAACAACTGCCTTACTTCCTCAAGTGTTAACAATAATATGGTTAATATATATATATATATATATATTTAAATATTTTAGTAATTTAATTTTTAATTTTTAATTTTTAGTATTTTTATATTTAATTTTTTATATATTTGTATAGTTTAAATTTAAAATTTAAAAATATTTTTTGTGAAAATCAAATAAGTCCTTTAACTTTTAAAATATCAGTTTGACCTTCGAATTTGACCAAAAAATCAATTTTGCCAATATGCCACATCAATAGCCGTGTCACCAGCCACGGTGGATTGACACATCAGCATCATGAAGTGCCACATCAGCACATTAACAATCAATGATGGAAACTGTTGGTCAAAGGGTCATATTGGACTTGTTTTCTAAGTTTGAGGGTCACATTGTGTGCAAAAAGATACGAGGGCCACATTGATTTTTTCTGATAGGTACAAGGACCTCACATACCATTTTGCCTAATTTTTTAATGAGTTAAATAAATTTAATTAAATATTCATGAACATGTTATGTTAACGTTTACGCAATATATTTATTTGGTTTAAATCAATAAAAACGATAATATATATGATTTTAAATGAATAATTTTAAGAAACATGAATTAAGCATATACGAATTTAAAAATGGATAAAGATGCATTTCATAACCTGACTAGTTAACTTCTAGCTTAATACGTATGCTAAATATTAAAGTAAGTGTCCAAATTATATCTAAAGTTAACTTTAGGTACTCAAAGAAATTTTTGTTAAAAATAGGTGCCTAACGTTTCCGACGTTGCACTTTTAAGTACCTGCCATTAAGTGACACGAGTCAGACATATAAAATTCCAAATTTTTTTTACTTAACGGTTGAATTTAACGGTGTTAATGGTCCAGACACCAAAAAATGTAACGTTGGAAATGTTAGTCATCTATTTTTAACGAAATTTTTTTAGGCGCCTAAAGTTAACTTTATGTATATTTTGGATAATTATTTTTACATTAAGCCTAATCTGTATGATTGTAGGTATAGCGTTAAGTTATGTAGTGAAAGATATATGTTTGATTGAGAGTTAGTAAGACTAAGTTAAATGGCATAACGACTTTATTAGGTAATCTCTTAAATCGATCTAAATTGATGAGTTTGATTATTTTTAGCTTATATGATGAATCAATTGGATGCATAAACTCTTTATTTATGACTTGTTTGTTGAGGAATTGATGTATATTAGGTGTATGCTTAGTTAAATTTTTGCCTATTTGAGTTACTTATTGCTTAAGGTAAGTTTTAAGAGTTTTATGAATTTTAATTAAATTGATATTATTAATCTTAAAAAGAGCGTGCACAAATTTATGTGTTTCGATTTCACAAGTAGAAAATATATGTAGATGCTCGTTTTTATCCGAGTCTAGGTCGGAGCAGGCCCGAAGCAAACCAATTACAAGCCCCATTCAAGCCCAATGGACAGCAAATATATGCACAAGAAGAGAGCAGTTTGAGGGTCGGTTTTTAGCAGTTTTGGTTTTTAGGAAATAACCACCCATCATCAGTAAAAGGAGATTAACAAGGAAAAACTACTAGACAATCACAAATTATAGGGAGGGGAAGATAAGCAGAAAAAGAGGAGAAGGAGAACAATGAGGAGATTTTTTTTACACAGTAAAATAAGAGAGGCAGTGTAAACAACATTTCCATTTTCAAAGATCAAGCAGTGTAACAAGGGCCTTCCCTATTTCTTTCTAAAGCAATCTAAGCAATTCGAAAGCAGGTTATTTTCATTACCTTCTTTATTTTCTGAAAATGTAGCAATGTTATATGCGACTTGTCATTTTTCTTTTAAAGCATAAAGAATAACAGAGAAAGGGATTAGAAAATTACCTTAATTGTGAACAATGGTAGAATCTCGGTGGTTCCATCCTAATCGTTTGGGGTTCAATTGCCAGAATATAGGGACTATTTTTTTGGTCTTCTAGAGGTCGATTTAGCGAGCTTTTATTCTCGAGTTTATGGTCTGGAGAGAAAACCAAG